CAGTTAGGTATGGTCGGGGTCAACAACTTTTAATACTGCACACTGCACAGGCTGTCCTGTCCGAATCCAATCCTGGACAAAACAGCACTAGTCTTCAAAAACGCATCCTTTCAGGTTTGCTTTCTGGAAGAAGCAGATGCACGGCAGGCTGAGTTAAAACAAGATAACTAAATGGTTTCATCATCCATGTCTGTCTCTCTTACGAAGCAGGCTGCGTTGTCTTGTCGGGCCAAAATGAACTGGAGACGAGGCTCGTCAATCTGCAATTAAGATTTAAAAATCTTGAGACCCGCGTAAGTATAGAGAATACTGCGGTACAACTCATGCATGCATCTATTGCTAAACACTTAAAAGTACAGCCATGGCCCGGACATCTTATCAGTATGATGGGTATATTAAGGTGCTAATTGTTTGAGTTAACAGTATGTCCTAATCCTTCAAAAAAGGAAACAGTATGTACTGGGGTTACTATATTATATTTATAAAGAAAAAAAACTAGTATTCACACCACCTTCACTGACATGCTAAACAAAACTATGCTTATCCAAGGATGTTATTTCAGATTAATATGTTATAGTAAATGGAGGGTTTTCCTGCAATTAACTATGGGTCGAACAAGTATTAGCTGTTTAAGAAACATTATGCACTGGAGTTGGCCATCTTTCCAAAGCAAAACTAAACTTCGAGTTCAAAGTCTGTCCTCTGAAATTCTGTTTCAAATTAAGATCCAAAAAGAACACGAAAATGGTTATTACGAAGCATTTACCTTTGCAAGTTTCAGCATCTTCTTTGCTGCTGTTCAACTGATCCATGACCTCCAAACCTTGGGTCTCCGCATCCGCATCCGCATCTGCATCTGCAACGGAGCAAACAGAATCCACATTGGATACTTTTCTGAACTTGTCTCCAGAGAAATCAAGTATCAATTGTACAAATGGCCAGTCGCCATTGGATAAAGAAACAGGGAGACAAAATGAAATATACATATAGAGACATGTTATTCATGGTGCTGACCTCCTTCAGAATCTGGGTGTTCCTGAGGTGAAGCCTGCTTATTTAGCAATGCCTTTTGAAGAAGACCTGTACCAGGAAAGACTAACATGTTGATAGACTTGACTTCTTGCTTGTCTGAAACTTCAAGTGGGCTAAATCCGAATTTGGATGTCCAGGTGTCCACAAGTTCATTAATAGCAGGAATGATCAACTTCTCAACTTTGAGAGAACTGAGGATCTGAAATGTAAATAAGAGAAGGCATTAAGAACACACATGGAATTACCCTACTATGGTAATAAAACAAAAAAACATCAACCAATTCATCTATAACCTATTGTAGGGAAAGGTGCGAAGTGTTGCCAGTTATACACTAATATAGCTGTACCATGACGGAATTACCCTACCATTGTATGCATATGCGCTATATCCATTACAGGTTTCAGTACCAAATGAAGAAAACATTGTCAAGCAGTTGTAGCATGCCAATTGTAACTCAATACCATTTTACAAGAGGGCAATATTAGTTTGCTACCTTTGTAATCTCTCTGCTACTACTTTTGAACAGATTTCAGGTTGATAACAAAATCTTGCATAAGTTCATAAAGTTAGGGTTTGAGAAGTTCAGTTCTTCAAATTTACAGACTATAACGAAACATACATAACTACAGGAGGACTAAATAGAACATCCCCAAACTTTTGTCCTACAGAAGCACCATGAAGAATGCCAAAATGGATATGAGGCTCAGGTAAAGATACCATTTCAATTCCATCTAAAAGTCGACGGCACATCCCTTGGCGCCGATACATATGTCGTGTACCAATGAATGGCATCTCTGCCAACTTGGTCCCATGTATCCTGGTTCAGCATAAGACATAATAACAGTAAACTTGTATTAGAATCCAGCAATTCAGCGGAAGAAAAAAGAAACTCAAGAGCAACCAGAGAATAGCAAGTGTTACAAAGTTAAGTCTGATGTCTATTACTGCTTAATGCTAGAGTTCAGATAGCGAGGCTAAAAAGTTGCATAAACAAAGTATATAGTGTAGGATATATCTAGACAAGCAAGCTACAAAATTGCATGCAAAGAGCTTTATGAAGTATGCAAGCAATAATAAGTTTATAACTAACGTATCTTACTAAAGTGTAACGCTCCAGTGCCATAAAGCTACTTTCTTTAATACAGAATACCGCCAACACCATCAGGATAAATGAGTACTTCCGTAAAAACTGCTCAGTGCTCACAGTAATGATCTAGTAAGCGTCACCTAGCAGGCTAGCAGTAGTACTAGACGATTGAACATAACTTGTTTTTGTCAAATGATTGGAGTGGGAATGCAGCTTCCAATCCATAGTTGGAGCATACATGACTAATTGCCATATAGGTCAGCAAACTAGTGGTTGAAACAAGACAAACTCGGTATATTAAGCGAGGACATGAATCTCTGATACCAATGAATAGTGTATTCAGTTCATACACATGGCAGAACAGTCACAAAACATGGCATACACACAAAAGAAGGAAGTAACCCACCTGACTGATGCTGCAGATACTATTTCATCTCCACGCTCCAAAATAAAGATATAAAATCCACGGAAATCCAGCCGGAGAAAATTTGACCTGCACACAGACAAGAAATGAGAGACCAATCAAACATCTCTCACTGATAAATGTTACCAGTTCAACTTGTTGTCATGACGCAACTGTTAGATAAGTAACTTGACCAATGTGCCCAGCAGCATAAACAAACACCCAAACCAATTCTGTATGCCAGTAACTGAACATACAGTAAGCCAGAGGGATCATACCCGCATATAGATTCAAACTACCCAAGCCACATATGCACACGTAAGCACTAGGAATAGGTCCCATCAAACAGCCACTTTATCAAACTAGGAATAAGCAATTAATTGTCGAATGGCGTCGTTGGTCAATTTTGTTAGTTTGCTATTTGGTGCATGCATAGGTGATGCATTAATACTTGGGTCTTTTTTTTGCCGTTTTAACACACATATTGCACATATTTGGCATTATTCACATACCTCTATATGCCATTGTAGCGAAACACATGATGCAAGCTCAAAAAGATCAAAGAACTAAACCGACGGACAGCAAATCTTATCATCACAAGAATAAGCAAAATGTTAAAACTCCACAATCATTTTATGGCGAGGGGCATTGCCAGCTTGCTTGACATAATCAAGGGCAAGGCCCGATTGTGGGCAAGGGCAGGGGCCACGGTCTCCCGATGCTTCTACATGGAGTGTACCGTTGTATTTCTGGGGCGTGGGCCATTTCAGGCATGTACATGGAGACACAAGGCTTTTGCGTTTTCGAGGAAAAACAATTATGGCGAGGAAACAAAAATATTGCGAGGTGAGCTCACCCCAACAGACCTGCATCTGTCAATAGCTATACAGCCAAGCAGGAGAGGGGTAGAAGGATATTAAAAACGACCCAGCTTAAATGAGTAGCAAGAGGTAACTATAGCAACATTGAAGGTAAACTCAACCCCACCCACCAAAACACACGTGCAGAGGAAGGAGAGAAAGAGAGTGTGTGCAAAGATTTACAAATCGAAAGCATATCAACAACAGAGGAGTTCTACAAAATATCCTTGAGCTTGCTTAGAGTACCATGAGCTTGTGTTAAGAGAGATGCCTACCCACAGTTGTACACAACATTACGTATCAAGTTGATGCCAGTTCTTTGGTCAACAATAGGAAGAAAGCACTCATCCATCAGTGAAAGAGCAACTGCAATCTTGGAATTACACTCGACCCTTCCATCCAAATCAAGAACTGTTTCTGGTGCATCTTCATGGCTGCACTGAATAATTGTGCATGCAAATTCAGGTTCAAGATCCTTCTTGACCGCAAGAAGATTCTGCAATTCCTCAAACAGCTGCATTGCATAAAAAGTTATTTAGATTCCGTGGTGCAATGAAGATTCAGGGAGGGAAAATGCCGACTGATGGAAAAGAAAGTGAGAATAAAGAATAACATGTGAACAGGTTTGGTCTTCAAAGGGATGCAGGAAACAGAAATATTAAGCATTAGGAAACCTTCCAAACTGTTTCAGTCAAAGTGAAACAGAAATAGTAACCATTAAACTGATCACATACGTCTTCATATAGAATATCAATACTATTTTTGTTTGTTTTCCACAGTATCCAAGGTGGATTAGTTTGTACAATAATATCGCAATATTGACGGAAAAACGATAATAATATTTCTATGCAGCATTTCAAAATACTTCTACATATATCCATATCCAAATTTCAACTGTACTACACAAATCCTCAAACATCACTCAAGTAATAACTACTTCCTCCGTTCCTAAATATTTGTCTTTCTAGAGATTTCAACAAGTGACTACATACGGAGCAAAATGAGTGAATCTACACTCTAAAATATGTTTATATACATCCATATGTGGTAGTCCATTTGAAATCTCCAGAAAGACAAATATTTAGGAACGGAGGGAGTATTTCAAGGATGATGGCATGCAAAGTTCTGAATATTTTTCAGATAGTAAATTGTCACCATACTGGAAATATTCAGTCTCAGAAGACCAACTCAGAAAAGGAAATCCAAATTCCGAAGTAAATGATTTTGGTAGCTTTGCATACTATATTGGTCGCTTATCAAGTATAGCTACTTGGACAAAAAACTAAATGCCATAATTCAAAAAATAAAAGCAATAGAACTCTGCTGAGTAGGTTAAGTGCAGATATTTAGCGAGTGACATTTTCAAGCATCAAGTTGTTACAAGCTAGTGACACTCAACTTAGCTCAAAATATATAATGTCAATGCTAGAATTGTAGTCATGGAAAACTACATCGTAATATGTCCAGAAAGAAAGTCATGGAAAGGGAAGAACTAAAGTTGACAAAGTATTACCAGTCTGCAACTTTGTTGGCAAAAATGATTTCCTGCCTGATTGGAGACACTGGATAGGTCCTCAGTCTCAGGAGAGCAAGCTGGGTGATCTGCAGGCATCACCATTGTGGAACAGTCAAAAACATGATTGACTAACACAACATTATAGTAACAACAACCGGAATCTGACAAAATAAGTTATCGATCACATACATTTCTCCTCGCATTGGGAACAAGAATGTAATGAATCAACTTCAGCATTGTCTGGAGCATCATGATTCAAATGCTCCTGACAAAATTTACAGGAACAGTTTGCACAGCGCCAATCATCAGATGGAAGTTCCTGTAAATTGGATATTCATGCTCATTAGAGAATGCTGCGCCAGATACACTTAGCCATAGACCATATACTAGGGGGGAAATCGAGGTCATAAACCAAAATGACACATAAACCAAAATGCTGACAAATCTGCCATACAACTGAAAGAAATGTCAGACGGTTATTGCTCAGAGTAAAAACGGCATTAAGCCAACAACCTAACACAGTAACTATATGAAAAGTGCCTTTTTTAGCATAAACACCATTTACTCTCTGTATATAAATACATACCTCAAGTTCTAGGCAACTCATGTGGAATGTTGAGGGGCATCCGTCACAGCAGATCAAATTGCCTCCATCACCACAAATACCACACGTGTCGTCATTGGGATCATCACCCTCAGTGCTAACAGGGAAAAAAGCCTGTCTTTCAGAATCAGACTGCTTGTCCCATGCACTAATGAGACAATGCAAAAGGTCATTGTCCAGCCCATCCACAAGTATATTCCTGTATGGTTTGCTCAGTTGACCACCAGCATGAGTCACAAATTCGAGTACTGTGACATCCTTGCTACAGCAGCTACAGTTAATTCCATCCCTGGTGATTAAACCCTCTAGCAGAACTTTTGAGCGGCTTTCATCCATGCATTTCAGTCTAGTGTTGACGGATAGAACATCCAGATCAATCAACCAGGAGAAAATTGTGCGTTTCCATTCATATGGAGCAAAACCATTGCTGCTTCCAGCCTCCTGATTTGATCCACGAGCGAGTAGAGCACAACCGCCTCGCTTTTTTCTTTCCTTTGAAATCTTCTTCTTCTTTTCCTTTGGCCTGCCCTTTGAATTTTTAGAGTTCTTTAGCAAACCATGCTTCCTCTTTTTTAACTTCTGAAGCTCAATTTTGGTCTTTCGCTTGTTAACAACTACTCTTTTTAATTTGCTGAGGATCTCCTGTGGTAAAGAACTACTCATAGAAGCATGCGTTTTGCCAGGGCTGCCCGGAGATTTCTTTGATAAATTCTCGCTTGTAGCTTCGTTCTTTTGCTCAGATTGCATACTTTCATACATTGCGTATGCTTTTGTGATTGACCAGTAAGATCCTTTACCACTTGGAGGTATATAGACAGAATCCCAATAATTTCTGCCATTCCTTGGTCTCAGATCAATCTTCCAACCAGCATCCAGAAGTATGGTCTTTATCTGTTCACTTATTTGACGCTTTAGTTCGAAACGACCTGTTGGTTCACCTGGGTTTCCAGATTTTGCCTTGCTATTGCCTTTGGAACAACTTGCTTTGGGAGAACCAGAAGAACGGTTTGGTCTAGATTCGGACCTTTGTTTATGCACTGGATGTTTCCTTTTTCGCCTGTCTTTTCTCACGACAATAACTTCCTCAGATTCACTAGAATACTCTTGTTTTACCATGACGGCAGGAACACCATGTTCTCTGCGCCCTCTACAATTTCTCTTGTGGGTAATAATGATATCAGTTCCATCAACATCAGATCCATTATGTGAAAGCTTGCAGGCATCTTTATTAGAGGGGTCAACAGATCTGCTCAACTCAGCTGCTCGACTGTGATGCTGCCGTTTTGTCAAAATATCTTTTTTGTCTGGACCGGAGTTCTTCTCTGTAAGCATCTTCCCAGAAGACTTCTTTGATTGATCTAACTCGGTGTGAGAAGTACTTCTTGTCTTTTTCATGGATGGCGTCTCAACTGGTGATCCTCCAGCAATTTTATCAAGACCTGATTCCAACATCCTCTTCTTGCTGGCAACAATCTTAGCACCAACTGATAATGGTGACTTCGGCACGGCAGTCTTGTTTTCAGATCTAACTCCTTCCGAATCTGTTAGCTCTGTATCATTCTTTTCAGTGATAGCTGAACTACAGACATTCTGATCCACCAGAGAAACTGCATCTTTTGTTGTGGCCTTGGCAATGCTACCACTTCTCATGGACGGCTGTGGCTTCGAATTGATCTTTATCTCTGTTGCTGATGCCTTGTTCTCTGTGGTATTTTCAGGATAATCATTACCAGTAACACCTGATTTTCTTTGAGCAGTAATCTTTCCATTTGGTGTGTTCTTCTTTGTGTTGGTTCCACGTTTAGAAGGTTCAGTATGGTCAGCTTTTAAGGATGCAGTATTGCTCACTTTCCTTGTATAATGATGAACAACATCTTCCTTTCTCCCCTTGCTTTCCATGCTAGCCGCGTTCGCACTACTTTTGCATGAGCTTCCAGAAGCCTCTCTTTGTTTAACTGTAGATGACCTTGTAACTCTCCTCTCAAACTGAACCTCCTCCTCTTCATGTTTCACCTGCTTCGTTTCACATGTGTTTCTGGTTAACGACTTTCTCCTTATAAATACAATGTCAGGAGTCGAAATCCCCTTGGTTCTGCCTACAGGGCTACCTAAGCCCTCTTTATGGTTATTGCAATCAGCTAATGCGATGCTGTTATCAGCCACACATCTTCCATTATCATTTAGAGAAGCTTCAGTGTCTTTACGTACATCTTCATCGTGACAATGCTTCTCAACTCCCTGATCACCACTCTGGAGTACCATTCCCTCAGTATGCACAACATTACCATCCTGCTGAACAGGTTCTGATGCGCTAGTAGGGTTGTTTCTGCTTACATCAATGACCAGTTCATCATCTTTTGCTGCAGCTGATGGGTCTATGACCTCCCCCTGGCAAGGTCCATTGGCACCCTTGTTTTCGTGGGAGTCATCAGTACTACCCCCACTTGTTCCAGACACATTCTCCTCCTCCTGAGTTGCAGAGTAAATCTTCTCGTCTGCCTTCACTTTCTTATCATCAGATTCAAAATTGCTTTTTTGGTTATCTAAGCCATTCTCTTCAGCAATACCGGCACTTTCCACACTATTCTCAGAACACTTAGCTGGCACTTCTATAGCATCATCCACTTTCACTGGATCCTCATCCATGTGCTCATCACCTTTAGAAGCGTCGACTGTCTGCGCCCCGCTTCTGCCTTCCTCTGCAACAGCCTCACAGTTAGCCTTCTCCAGACTGCCACCCGCAGTAGCCTCGCAGTTAGTCTTGTCCAGACTGTCACCCGCAGTAGCCTCACAGTTAGTCTTGTCCAGACTGCCACCCGCAGTAGCCTCGCAGTTAGTCTGGTCCAGACTGTCACCCGCAGTAGCCTTGCAGTTAGTCTTCTCCAGATTGTCACCCGCAGTAGCCTCACAGTCAGTCTTCTCCAAAGCGTCACCCTCGCTAACATCCACGGCGGCGGCGGCGGCGGCTTCATCCTCGGGCTCGGCATCCACATGCAGCTTCATGGAGTCCGACCTCAACACCCTCTTTGCCGCACCGCCATTCTCGCCCGCAGGAACATCCTTCCTCTTCTTTCCCGTAAGCGTGGGCCCACCGCTGAGATCGTCAACATCACCAAGGGAAGGGTTTTCCACCTCCACCAAGGAGGAAGCCTTGGGCGAGTCCTTCATCAGGGCGTCTTCTATTCCTGGCATCGGGCTTCGCTCCAAACCGTTAAGCATCATCCCAGTGCCCTGCGTAACAAGACCAGAAAAATCATCAGAACCACACTCCCACTAAATGTTGAACTGATAGCCACCTAGCTGCTCTAACTCCCAGCCAGCGTAAACCTAGCCCGATAATTAAGGTCGGGGAACTCGGAGCAATGGGGTATCGAGCGCATGAAATGGTTAAAACCTGCTCTTTCGAGTAAACCTAGACGGCAATTCGGGAAACCGGTGAAACATCTTGACATCAAGCGGAAAAAGGCATAATCCCTTGAAATCCGGAGGCGAAGCAGCGGAGCAGCTCACCAGAAGCCAGGGGGGGAGGGGAGCATGCCCCGGATCAGCACCGAATCGCGCGGCCGGAACCGCGCGAGGCCGAGATCGCCGGCCTCCGCCGCCGAGAGCAGGCGGTGGAAGCAGCGGTTGCCGCCGGCCCCGCCGATCCGGGCGCGGGGAGGTGGGGTCCGGCGCGAATCCGCGGCGTGGGGGCGGC